TATATATATAAATATATATATAAATATATATATAAATATATATATAAATATATATAAATATATATAATATATAATATTATATATATATATATATATATATATATAAATATAATATATATATAAATATATAAATATATATAAATATATATATAAATATATATATAAATATAAATATATATATAAATATAAATATATATATATAAATATATATATAAATATGTATATATATATAAATATATAAATAAATAAATATATATATATAAATATGTATATATATATAAATATATAAATAAATAAATATATATATATAAATATGTATATATATATAAATATATAAATAAATAAATATATATATATAAATATGTATATATATATAAATATATAAATAAATAAATATATATATATAAATATGTATATATATATAAATATATAAATAAATAAATATATATATATAAATATGTATATAAATATAAATATATATATATATATATATATATATATATATATATATATATATATATAAATATATATATATATATACACTAATATACATTCTATAATTCACACACACACTCCAATATATCCATAAACAATATCCACTTGAAAGACATTTTTCACACTTTGATTCCTATTCTCACACACCTTAATGATTGCCTTCCTGGGTGTTCACCATCACTTTGCTAAAAAATATAAAAGGAAAAAGCCATAGGTATCTCAACTCACCTCCTTTACAACAAGTTTACGTCCTTTCAACTCATATCTGTGCATTATCTCCACGGCCTTTTGTACTAACTCAGTGGACTCAAACTCAATGACGGCACAACCTCGAGGGCGGTTGTTTTCATCATTGAACATTTCCACATATGAAACTTCACCAACTGAGAAGAGAAATAAAAATTAATAATTTCCCAAAATCTTTTTCTTTTTTAGGTATGTAAGCAATAGTTTTACCTAAAACTGCCAATAAAAATCAATACACAAAGACATCTACAGAGCAAAAATTGACGCACCTTCTTTGCGGAAGAGATCCTTCAAGTCCTGCCACTTGTATTCATAAGGAATGTTGGAAACATAGATGCGTCTCTCCACTGGAGCACGCCTTCCTCCACCCCTGTGAATCAGAAAGATCTTGTTTAGTCTTAACAAGATTAAGCTAGATACCTATATCAAACAGACAGGACAAACAGACAGACAGCACAGTCAAAAGAAAGCAAATAACAGACCAAACACAGGATATGGATCAGCAAAAACTGTACTAAATTTTCAATCATACAACAGTTTCACATATATTGTCTTCTTTACCTAATTGTACATGACAAATCATAATGGCAATCGTTAACCCATTCACGCCGGGCGTCACGTATACGTGACGGGCTCACTGCGAGTTTACTTGTTTAATTGTTTTCACACATAGATGGCTACACTTGTACTTGTACTGCCTGTATCGCCTGTTTACCCGTTTCTTTAATTTACAAAATTATTTTGCGTTATCTTATTTTGCTGTTACTAATGTTTATACCATTATAGTAATTATAATATTTATAATAAAAATAACCATCAATATTCATAGCACTGGTAAAAAAACATTTTCCCACCAATTCAGGTAAAGGTGAAATCAGGTAAGGCAGAGTCATCTAGTGTAGAGAAATTTCATTAAAAAAATATAAAAAAATAGCACAGCATTTTCCCCATCTTTTGTTCATTTATACCCAGCACGAATGGGTTAAAGTTTAGTAATAATGAAGCAATTTCACCAAAATTATTAATGACAAAATTGCTCATTACTTGTTTGTTGTATACAAATCCTAAAGGCTATAATGGGAAGTAACCAAGGCAAGTATGCAAATAGGTAGCTATTGCAACAGCTTGCTTTTGTACATCAATATCATATAAATTTTCATAAACTTATTTTTCAAATAAATATAAACAAACAAAATACATAGGCATATTCTCTATACTTATGTAAGACAATACTGTAAGAATCCTACAAAAGATATGGAGACAATCTATAATTCTGATTTTTCCATCGTGCCCCTTACTCACCCCAACATTTACCCTTATGCCACTTTCTGTCCTTTATCCCTTTCCTCCTTTATCCCTTTCTTTTTTTCTTTCCTTCCCTTTCTACTACCTATCCTTCTCTTCCTTTACCTACCTTCCACACTTCATCCTTATTCTCTCCCTCTCCAGCACTATTACATGTATCTATGGTCCATTCTTCCTCATGCCATTTATTCCTTTCCCCATTCCCTAGTATTTCCCTTTTCTTCTCTATTCCAACCAAAACCAACACACATGCACACACGCTCAAAAAAAAAAGTAACGTTTGATAACTCAGTACCAAAGATTTCAAATCAAATACACTGAGATTATCAAACTTGTACCTTTGTCTATCTGTCCTTCTGCTGCGATCCATGCGGCGATTACGGTCCCTTTCGCGTTCGTTGCTGTCTCCATCACGGTCACGGTCCCTGTCACGACTGTCTTCATCAACAGGAGAACGAGACCTGAAAAGAAATTACAAAATTTTTAGTTTACTTACAAGATTATGCACATAGATGGCTCTGCTAGTGCTTAGCCACAAAGGAATAAATTAGTAGACCTTACCTAATTTTACCTTTCCTTGAATTGGCAGAAAAAACTTATTTTTTACTAATTCTATGAATATCGATGGTGTAATTTTTATTATAGACATTATATATACTATAATGGCTCATTGGTGACTTAGTACAAGTATAGTCATCTATGTGTAAAATCAATTAATAAAGTATACTCACAGTGGGCATGGCTTATACATACATGTCATAATCTTCAGAATTGGGTTAAAGATCACTACTGTACACAAAATTTTGTGTATGGGTTGTTTAGAAATTACAGGAGTTTATGCTTATGCCTTTATGCCAATTTTGATTGAATACATCATCATTCCTTGTTAATCAGTGATTAACTAATCACTGAAAAGAACAAATGACAAGACTAGACCCCCGTGGTAATATATGCAACTGACCCCCACGGTAATATATACACCTAGCCAGACCACCCATTTTACTATATGCACCTAGCCAAGGGGCTATGCCTCCTCGACTCTGGTATTATATGAACCTAGCCATAGGGGTTACGCCCCCTGGACCCCTGTGGGTTTAACCCCTGCCCAACAGGTCACACCCACCAAAGCGCTAGGAGTCGGTGATTCGACTTGATGTACCGTTTGATGTACTGAACTCCCACACTCAATGTCGGCATGTTGCCATTGATCTTCAGAGCGTAGAGGTTTTTTTTTCTTCTTCTTCACTTGTCATCTAGGGGTTAATAAAATATGATCTATATATTCCCTAGCCAGGGGCTCTGCCTGCTGGACCCCCTACAGTATAACCACATAACTTTATAGAGCAAAACACTGACCTTTTCTTCACTTCTGTTTATGGTCAGAATTGCTTGGTTTCTAATCACTTTCCTCAGCATTTGGAGTACTTGATGGGCTCAAATATCAGGCAGGGATAGGTACTAAAGTTCTTTTGCTCTGCTTATCCACTATATGGTTTTAACCCATCACTGCCAGGCCATGCCTATAGCCATCATAACAAGCTGCTTGACCTGCCGGGTATGGCTATATGTTGACGACACACTAGAGCACATCAAGTAGAAAGTTCGGTTAATTTTCCAAAAATGACAATCAGGTCTTCCCTGACAATGTTTATATCGTCAGATTTGTTCTCGTGTGATGAGAACGAATCTGATGATATTCTCAGTCGCATTCTCCAGCCAACAATCTTGATGTGATTTGATAAGTCCCGATAGCAGGGGAGGGCATGAAGTAGATCAGGGAAATTACGGGGTAAAACAGGCTGAAATAAGCAAAATTGAGGGCAGAAATGTGTAAAACAAGCACAAAAAACACTTAAAATCAGCCAATGAAACTCTACGGATATCACCGCCATCTTTGACAGTCTACAGACCGACATGCCAACTTTTGAAAAACTCTACGGAAACCAAACCCACATCTACAGGTCTTCACATAATCCAGATCCCGTGGTAATCGTACAATGTGTCCTAACCAATAAGCCAACCTAACCTAACCCTGTGGGATTTATACACTACGATCTATACATTCCCTAGCCAGGGGGCTACGCCCCCTGGTCCCCCATGGTATTAAATGCGCCTAGCCAGGGGGCTACGCCCCCTACACCCCCGTGGCTTTACGAAAATACGATCTATATAATAGCTAGCCCCCCTAGATCCCCAGGGTTAAACCACATACCTTTGTAATTGGTCATAATTGCTTCGTTTCGAATCACTTTTTTCAGCATTTGGGGCACTTGTTGGGCTCAAATATCAGGCTTGTGATTGAGAATAATGTCTATTTGTCCTGTATATCCACAATATGGTTTAAAAAATGACCCAATGTCAACGCAGCACCTGTCAAATCTCCTGGTGAAAACGTGCATGCGCAAAAGGTTATTGTACAGAATAACGTAAATAATTACCAAAAGACGCAAGAGAAGTATAATAAAACTAGAAGAATGCATTACATATATGAATTCAGAGAATCAGACACTAGTAATGACAAAATAAGCGTTCTCACAAGTGTGTAGCAATACATGGACTACTTGCTGGATCGCAGTAATGAGTTACGCGTCACATTTGTTTTGATCCTCGCGAGGTAAACATGGAAGGGGACTTAGAAAATGAAGGGTCGATCATCTGTCTTCTCTGTCCTGTATCTCTCTTATTTTAGATTTCCGCACATTTTACCATAGATGAGCAGTGTCTTAGTTTTCTTCAAGGTATCCATTCCATACACTTATTTTACTGTATGATTGGTTGACACACGCAGAAAGTTTTCCGGATATTCCACTACATGTAGCAGACTCTCGCTTCCAACGGGAGGATGGTTGCCAAAAATCACCAGAGTCTATAATACGGAGATATTTCTAATACTGTCACCTAAGGATTAATAAAAAAAAGACCCAGAATCTACACAACACTTAAAATAAAACATTTCTCACAGCCTGTCAAATCTCCCAGTGGCAAAACCATACATGCACACAATGTTGTTCAATATAGTACAAATAATTATCCAAACATGTTAAGGTGGTAGAGCAAAAATAAAAGAATGCATTAAATACATGAATTCAGAAAAACACAACCTGGCAATTACAGTATATTAACTTTCAGACGTGCTTTGTACTACGTGAATTATTTAACAGATCGCAGTAATGAGTTATGCTTCACATTTGTTTTAGTTCTTGAAAAGTAAACACAATAGGGACTCAGGATCGATCTTCTCTCTTCTATGTCATGTATCGCTTTTATTTTTGATTTGCACACCTTTTGCCATAGATGAAATGTGTCTGTGCAACCACTCCATACAGTTTTTTTTTTAATGTAATCCTGATTGTCATAGATGGAAAATTTTCCATTTCTTGTACCAATAACCACAACTTATAGCCCCTGGAAGTATATCAGCTTCAATTTGCCATAACTTAGTACGTCCACACCATAAGGATTACCCATATTCCTGTATATGTATACAAGTGAAAACTCTGGAGGTTTTTTTTCCAAAATACTTCTTTACAAATGAAATATGACAAGACTGACAATGACATACTCAAAATAGAACCCAAAAACTAATGAAAGCCTCAAAAGCATTCCTGGAATCAATGGCTCTTAAAAACTACAATGTTACTCAATACTCTTGGGAAAACCATCCAATAAATACCTATAAACTACCTCCCATTATCTGCAATATTCGTGTCTTCCTCAAAATTCACCCTTTGATTTATAACCTGTGTTTTTTTTTCATTTATTATCTGTATTCTAAATTCACCCTTTTATTTATAATCTGTATTGCATTTCAAGCTTTATTTAACGTCCCTGTGTCAATGCAAATGCAGTGACCCAGATGACATTTTTTTCCTGCCCTTTTTATCAGCACGTCGTTATTGTAGCATTACGTGGGGGGTTTTAAAAGAGAAAATACATTATAGATTACAAAGTAGATTGTAATACAAAATGCAAAATAGATTATTAAAACAGGCAGGAAGCGGGACGAGAGAAAAAAAAAATCGACAAATCCTTCTTTTTCAAGTTTCAGGGTCACGGTCTTTGTGTGTATCGGTGCGCCAAGTGAAATATCTTTTTTTTATCTATTCCGTTTACCTTATACTTGTCATTGCAGGGTGTTATTTACACACGGGAGATTCCTGGTAAACGTTATGCCTCATTAATTATTCGTTGTCACTTCGATGACGGATATGGAACGCCGCGTAGCCTTAGCAACTCCAATCCGTCTTTACAAGGAATCTATCTTAATCTTCTTAATCCACGCGCCATTAGATACATATGATGTGTCTGAACAATCTAAAGAACCTCACCTGTCGCGATTTTCGGCCGAATAGTCGTTTTCTTCTTTCATTTCCATGATAATCGGCAATATTTCCCGGTCTCTCGACAGAAGTGACGCGCATTAACTATGGCGGCGCTTGGGAGATACGGAGCCCACTCCACCGGACGGCAGCTGTGGCTTCGGCTTCCTCTTAGCTTCGCATTTTCCCATCACCTTTTTACTCTATATCTACTTGCCGAAGTTACTAAATAGGTATTTTTGTTTTATTTTATTCACACCCGTTTATCATCTGCCTTGGTCAACATCATAAGTAAAGTTATGAATATTAAATGGTTAGTTACTAGTAAGCCGAACATCTTGTTGCCAGATCCGGACAACCGGCGTATCAATGCAATTATGAAAATTCCTGTCTGCTTGTTGATTCTGTTGCATATTTTCAGATTGTTGGCAAGGGATGAAAGTCAAGTCCTTTCAGTGTGAATTGTACTGTACCCTTTCTGTTTTTCAAACAAACGTTCATATTGTACAATAACAACATTTGCGCATGCGCTCATATGAAAGCCAACGAGTCGCCTAAAAATTACAAATAGCAAATATATCTAAAAAAAATATTAGGATTGCAACAATGCAACATCTCGAAAAAAGAAGCAAGAGATTTTTATCATCTTTCACTAAGTGTAAAAAAAACTATCACTAATTCATTGCCTAAGCACCCTGCATTGCAGATAATCAACCAGATTTCTGAAAATCTTGCAAATTTTTGTGAACATTTTAAGGTTTATCCATTATTCCTGTGTCGTCACTTGTAGTAGTATCCATATTCCAAACTATATATATGCCAGATATGAGGAAACTACTTTACCCATTTCTTAAACAGAAAGATACATCCCTATATATAATCCTTAAAGCCTTCCTATTGCATTTTGCAATGTGTGAGGAATAACACATTGTTCGCTCATACTAGCAAAAGAAGCTGCTAAATATAAATCTGACGAGATATACTCACGGCTTTATCATCTCTCTCTCTCTCAAGAGGATCGAGCACTTGCCAGGCGATACGCCAATATCCTCTCGTGAATTGTGCATGAGGTCTTGACTTTCAACCTCGACTAGTTAATTCCCTTTCATTTTTGGCTTGTTTTGATGGGCGGTGA